CAGAGGTTAGGAGTTCGATCCCTCGCTGTGCCTCCTTGATAGGGGCTGGACTCAATGATCCATAGGGTCCCTTCTATCTCTGCAGTTCTAGGATGATGATGATGATTTTCACCAACTCAAAGTGTTCTGCTAATCGTGGAAGTTCCAAAGAGACAGGAGGCATCTTGGAACTTCCGGCTTGTTCCAGTTCTCTTCCTGTCTTACCTTATGTGTTCACTGTTTATATTTAAGAGGCCCTCGAAACAAGTTCCCACCATTGCACAGAAAATAGAATCCATCACAACAGAACGTTAAAAGAGTGCTTGAGGAAACTTCAGTGGCTTGAGGTGGCCCTGAAAAGCAACTGACCCTGTCCAGCAGAGACGTGCTCCAGAGCCGGAGTGCAAGCACAGAAATGACGAGCATCCTGGCTCTGGGGTGCCTCCCTTTTAAAAATATTTGAAAAAGCATTTCTCTTACTGAGCGTATTCGGAGGAAGGGCTGATTTGATTCTTGTGATGCAGGGACAGATTGGTGTGGGAAGAGACAGTGGTGCAGATGCCTCTTCTCCATGCTCTTTGAAGCATGGAAAGGGAACCACCAGCACCCTGAATTGGGCGCAGGAGTGACCAGGCAGAAATATATACAGTAGGACCCCCATATTTGTTGGGAATTGGTTCCAAGCCCCTTATGGATAGTGAAAACCACAGATAATAGTGAACAAGAGGGAGAGAGCATGGTAAAGGAGGCGAGCAGAAAAATTATTTTCACATGCATTACCATAGCTGGACATTAGAGGGCGACAGTGACCATGCTATGTATTCTTTGCTAAGTATTCATAGATAGTATTTGGCTCCCTCTAGTGTATTGTTCTGGTAAGGCACGCCAAAAGAGTTTTTGTCAGGATTTTGTTTTCCTTTAATATTTTTAATATTTACAGTCCATGGATACTGATCCCACAGATACGGGCTTCTACTGTGATTTTTTCCCCCAGGAGAAAAATTATCTTGAACCCCTCTGTTCCTTTCCTAGTTGCCCCTTCCTCTGTTTCCTATTTTCATTCTTCTTTCAGATGGAGATAGGGTTAGTCAATGTACTCGGTGGTTTCCCTGAGGCTGAGGAAGCTCCCTTGGATACTCAGCAGGAGTCAGCCTGGATCAAGGAAGTGA